ACAAACCAAGAGAAGTTAGCATAGTCAAGACAAACAACCGGCTATCAAATAACCAACCCAAAAAAAAAAAAAAAAAAGAAGAAAAAAGAAAAGAAAAAAGAAGTGAAAAGGAGATAAGACAAACAGATAAACACAAAATACGATGTCGGATTCGAATTTATCAAAAACTGATTTGGAAGAAATCTGCAAAACTCTTGGGTTATCAACTGAAGGCATAAAAGCAGACCTGATACAAAGGATAAGGGAATATTCTATAAGGTCAATGTCTAAATCAGGACCTTCTAAATTGTTAAATGAAATAAATTACGGAACCTATGATGACATTGATGATGATGATGATGGTAATGTCAGAAATCAGGAAGTAAATCATATGGCGTATTTGGAGGGTGAAAATGGAGGTATTTCAATTCAAACACTGAGAGAACGTGCCTTGAAAACTAGACGTAACAATCTGGTAGAATCACCATTAAATGATCAAGAGGCTGATGAACCAATTTCAATACATGAAAAGAGTGACCTGATAAATACACTCCCAAGAACAAACAAGCGGCGGTTACTAGATGACGATATTCAGGAAGGCCCAGACTCTTTAGAAAGCCTAGTGATAGCAGAATTTAGAAATCTAAGAAGAGTTATATTAGATTTTGATGATAAATTAAACACTGTAGCATCCCAGGTTCAAAAAGTAGGAAAGAACGAAGCCTGGCCAAACTATAAATTTGAAAAAGCACATGACCAACATGAATATGATACCTTATGTTCGATAGGGAAAAAACTGGATCTGGCAATAGAATCCCGGTCGGTAACAGATGTGACAGATCAAATTGCAGGGCGCATGAAATTATTACAGACAGAATGTTTACCTTACGTGTAGCCGAAGGGTTTGGATGGGACATAGCAGCAGCCCTACCGAATACACAGGATAAGTTACTAAAAGAGAAAGAATCTGAAATTGAGAAGGCGAAAACATTAGCAGAAGCAAAAAAGAACAAGCAGAGAAAAACATTGAACGAGGGCCTCGATCCCGCATATTGGAAAAATAATCTTCAAAATCAGTATACAAATAACTTACCAATAAATTACCAAAACAACTGCCAAAATGCTTTTCACAACCAAGAACAGTTTTTTCGCTCAAGTTATCAGACCCGAAACTGGAATTCGAACTTGTCAAACAAGTGCTACATCTGTAGAGGCACCAGTCATTTCGCAAATGCATGCCCCTCAGATCTATATAGAAGCACAAATCGGCAACAGGAAAGAAACTTTAGTTACCAGTTATGGGGCTATGCAACCTACAGAAATAAATATTTAGGACCCCAGGACGATAACAAATACGAATGACTACACTCGGGCCCAACAGAAAATACCAGTTGTGGGGAGACTACACCTATCAGAGCATATAAATTATTGGGAGCAGGAGATTCAAGCCTCGAATTTAGTTCTAAGTTGGCTGAAAAATGGTGTGCCATTGTATCCAAAAGGACTTTTGAACCTGACATTACAACCCGACCTGCACCAATACGTTTTAACAAGGGACCAAGCGGCATGGTTAGATCTAGAAATAAAATGGCTATTAAAAATAGACGCGATAACTTTAGTTTCAATTTCACTGACCTGGCCACCATAACTACTCGAGATATGCCCGATATTTTTGACTCCCAAGCCAGGCCCCAAGAAATGGTACCTAATCATCGATCTCAGACGTTTAAACAAGACACTGCCAGAAAAGACATTCAGATTCGAAGGGTTCAAGGCATTTTTGCGAATGATAGGAAGAAATTGGTGGGTAGTGGTTTTAGATCTAAAAAAAGGTTACCACCATGTGTTAATGGATCAAAAGGCGCAAAGACTATTAGGATTCCGAGTCAGCACAAGCTGGTACCACTATCGGGTCTTACTGTTTGGCCTAAGTTTGGCAGTCTAGACCTTTTCAAAAATAATGAGGTCACTAATAGGACACTGGAGAGCATCGGGGATTTTTTTGCGAAAATCACCTCGACGACATATGGATCGCCCACCCATGCCAGGAAACACTGATTCAAATAAGGAACTTGAAGATATTTTGGGACTTGAAAAATTGTGGATTCATTTTGGCTGAGAAGGAACATCCGGAACCAACCCAACAACCCAAGTTTTACGGCTTGATTCTAAATACAGTAACAGGGCAGGTTTCAGCACCAGAATCCAAGATAGACGCAGCACTTGCAAGCCTCAAAAGCCTTCTATCAACAACCCCCTTGACGTCTTGCTGCCTTTTGTCCGTAGTGGGACAAGTGATGAGCCTGAGTCAGGCATTCGCATATGCGAAAATCCATTGCTTAGAGTTCTATTCAATTATCGATGCAGAAAACCGAAGATCCTGGGAGTGGGACAACTCCGTAAGGTTAACAAAACAAGCCATTGCAGATATAGAGTGGTTGCAAAAGAACCTGAAAGTGAAGAATGGACGCCCTGCATGGAAACCCTCTCAAGTAATTCCAATTTTTGTGGATGCCTTGACAACAGGGTGGTTTGCAACCTTGAATGGGATACGGGCTTTTGGAAATTGGGAGTACCACCATGGACATATAGATATCGTACATCTAGAATCGACAGCAGCCCTTTTGGGCCTCGAATCATTTGTTCATCTAATTGCAGGTTATTGGATTACTGTTTTTATAGACAATCGAGTTGCAAGAAAGACGGTAGAATCAGGTGGAAAACGCCCGTAGCAGAAAGAAATAATGCATCAAGTGTGGGATTTGTGCAACAAACACAATATACAAATTCACGAGTTTTAGTGAGTACCCTCAAAATTAAACCCAGCAGATGAATTAACACGATTCTTTGACGAATCCGATTGGGAAGTGGACCAGGACGTTTACACCATAATAAAAATGAAATGGGGACCCTTCACCATAGACAGAATGGCAAGTTTCTGGACGAGAAAGGTGAAGCGCTTCAATAGTCAGTTTTGCTGCCCAGAAGCAGAAGCAACAGATTGCTTCATCCAAAATTGGAAATATGAAAACAATTATGTATGCCCCCTGTTGAGTTTAATTCAAAGGGTATTCGAACATAGAGTTCAATTCCAGGCCCAGGTAATTATGATTGTACCGGTATAGCTGTTGGCCACGTGGTGGCCGATTCTCTTGCAAAAGCAGGTGAAGTAATAGATTTACCACCAGCAGTTACAAGCTTCCTGCCCAACCCAGGAAGCAATGCACCACCCGAACCATAGAAGAACCCGCATTGGAAATTTCAGGCAATCAAATTCTGTTTTTAAGTACCCTACTCGTGAAAGCACATAAGGCCATAGCCCCAGGATCACCTTATGAAAGACGTCTCACGTGTTTATGGAAGGAGTTTGTAAATTTTTGTGTAAAAAATAAGCTAAGCTCGTGCCTAGCCACCCCAGACTCAGTATTGATGTTTTTAGTCTGGTTAGACATGTCAAAAGGAGCCTTCAAGCCACACTTGTATATAGTAGCAATTAGTCAATACTACTGCAGAATAGGGTTTCCAGACCCAACTCAAAATTTTAACGTTCAGCGCCTCACTCGTAACCTGATGAAACATGCGGCAATTGACAAAGAGGCCATATGGCCACGAGACCCCCTTCCAATAGAAGCCCTCTACAACCTCGTAGATAACCCACCGCCGAACTCTGCTGGGTTAATCTGGAAACGGGACTGTGCTATAATTGCACTAGGCTTACGTACGATAAGAAGACCTGCTGAACTATGTAACCTCCGCGTGGCTGACATAAAAATAGACAATAGGTTTTTTTGGGTTAGAATAAATAGATCAAAAACTGATCAATTTGCAAAAGGAAAGTTCATCCCTGTGAACCCTACGAACTCACCATACTGCTCAGTGAGATTAGTTTATAAATATCTAGAAGCCAGAAGAAACGTAAAAGATTAGAACCCGTTATTTGTAAATGCATCAGGGAAACGTATGTCAACCGGAGTTGTAAATTTAGTTATAAAAAGAATGACACGTCATGCGAAACTAAATGGGAAGTATTCAGGACACAGTTTACGTATTGGTGGGCAACCAGCACAATGAAAGCTGGCTTAATGCTACCACAAATCATGAGCATTGGAGGATGGGTGTCACAATTGGTGGCACTTTATCTTAGGTCTTTTTCTATGGCATTGCAAAGTACATCTGCTAAGATGGGTTTTTAAAAAAAAAAAAAAAAAAAGAGAGACAAATGACAAATAGTAAAGATATGTACATCACCTCACGATTCTCTTTTGTCTCCCATAGTGTACTTCCTTTGAATAAAATGATCCAAGCAAGAATAATGACCTGACATATGACGTTAGTCATGCAAAGGTTATTATTGCGAGGATCTTCCCCCAAATTGGCCAAGAAGTGTGTAATAGGAGTAGTACAGTATTTAAGATTGGATTGTAGAATGAGAACTGATAGTGCTTTTTTCCTTTGCTGCCTGACTTGGTTCTGGCTCTATCATGCTGTGGCCCTACCCCGGCCCCCCC